CGTCGTGGGCGGCGTAGGGGGAAGGAAGGACCTCACTCTCATCGTGGTAAGGCATGGGCTCCCTCTCGGAGTACCGCATGCAGTGCCCCCCCCCCGAGCGTGTCAAAGATGTGGTGCCAGCCCTTGCATGGAGGAAGCACAAGACCTCCAACCATCCCGGTGCAGCACCCACTTCTCCTGGGCCGGAGTGAAGCCTCTGGGTCCCCTCCGCTCCTGGAGGGACGCGGGGAGGTTTGATTTCAGACCTGATTGTGGGGTGTAGGGACACAGCCCTAGCAGACCCTGGGGAGCGGGGTGTTGCTGGGTGGGGGGGTTTCCACTGAGACTCATTTAAGCCCTAAATGCCTGGGGTGGATAACAAGGGAGGGAAAACGCTGCTTGATCCTCCCTTGGATTTGGGGTTTTTGTTTGACTGACTGTTCCTTCCCCCATTTCTTTTTATCTTTTCTCCCCCGTTCACTCCTCCCCATTCCATTAACATCCCCCACTTTCCGACCCCTCTGGGCATGGCCCCCCATACACCCCCGCGCACCCTGGCATCTCCCTCCCGTGTGTGTCCACGCCTCGCCGCTGTCCGACCTCCAGAACTCTGGCTCCAAGGACTGTGACGTCCACTATGCAGAGCTGGACACGGCCGCTCTGGCCTCGTCGCCCAGCCCCCGGAGCTCCATCCGTGCTGGCGGAGACCCAGTCGAGTATGCAACTATCCAGCCTCACTTACGCTAGCGCATGCCACTCTAGGCCTTTCCCCTCCGATCCTGGCCTCAAGGTACACAACCGCCCCCTGCCCGCCTCCCTGTGCCCGCCTGGGGATGTCTGCGCTCCCCTGCCCTGTGCAATGGCTCCCTCTTACCCCCACCCGGTGCTGCATGCTTCCTGCCACGGCTGCTCCCTGGCGTGGCCTGCATGCAGCTTGCAAGCAGCATGGTGCACCCCCTTTTGCTTTGGGCCCTGTGCAGAGGTGAGCTGGGGGGTTATGTTTGTCGGAGGGTGGGTTGGCTGGCGGGGCGGGCAGGCTGCGGCCAGGGTGCCTCGATGCGGTGCTGAGCTGCGTGACAGAGGAGGCCGGGTGTCCCCAAAGACACCCAGGGGAATTTCCCCAGGGTTTCCCCCGCCTGGGAGCAACTCCCTAGGGTTGCAGAGAGAGCTCTGAGGGAAGGCAAGTGAGGAGAGCAGGATGGGGGAGTAGAGAGAGGAAGGAGTGAGAAAGCAATGGGAAGGGGGAGGGAAGGGCTGGGGTCAGCACCCTAGGCATGCTCATGACAGCCTGGGACCCTGAAGGCAGGAGGTGGCATAGATGAGGGGCAGCACAGTGCAAGGTGGGAAGTGAAAGGCAAGATGCTTAGGCGGGTGATCCAGCTGGACACTGGCCAGTGAGATGCCCCCACCTGCCACAGGGTCTGGGGGAGCGCGGGTGGTCACAGCAGGGCACGGGGCTCTGCTGGGGTTTGAAGGAGCTGCGTGCTGTCCGCACTCAATGGCCCGTTCTCTGCCCTCCTTCCCCCCCGCAGCTGCCCCGCTGGGGCAGGGCACCACGTGGGTGTGCGGGTGCACACGTATGCACACACCTCTGTCTGCTGTAAGAGCAGACGTCTCCGCCCCTCCCCCTGACCTCCCCCAAGCATGCGAGTGTTATCACTAACCCTTGGCCCCGCTCTTCGGTGGGTGTTTATCCCATCCCATAGCAGGTCTCCGCAGCTCCTCAATCACCCGTGTGAGATGCTGCAGCCCTCGCCTGCCCTGCCCCTTTGTCCACTGGTTTCAGAGCCGCTTTCTCTGCCCTGGTGTTTGGCTAACCACTTTCTCCCTCCTGGTCTGTGTGTTGTATACTCCCCTCGCCCACAGCCTCCCATGACTGGGAGCAGGCAGCTGCGTGGGCCTGTTCTCTGGGGAGAGTGCCCCGTTCCCCAGAGATGGGTCCCAACCAGAGCCCTAGATCCAAGCAGCCCTGGGAGCCAGAGGGGGTTAAAAGCCGGTGCCTGGTTCAGGAGCAATAGTTCATGTCTAATCTCCCATGATGTCATAGGAAGTTCTTCCCTCCACCAATCAAATGGAAGAAGCTCCTATAGCATTAATCCAGCATCTTCCACATTCCCCTCTCCTTCATTCCCACCCGTGTTGGCCCATCTCTCTAGGCATCAGGAAATGCTGGAGACCCACCAGACTTGTCTGGGCACCCAGGTGGGGTAGGGGAAGAAGCAGCTTGAGGGGCTGAGCCCAGGGAACCCGGACCTTCATCTGGGAAGGTCGCCGGGCATTTGGTACGGACCAGAGTGGTTGCTGTGTAGGGTGGGCACAGCCAGTCTGGCTGCACGGGGATCAGAGCCATAGGAAGAGCTGGGAAACTGCTGATAAGTTTGCTAATTGGGTCCGTGCAATAATGAGCTGTGATGCATGTGGTTAGTTCAGGGCTCTGTATGGCACAGATAACCTTTTGATGTGCAAATCTTGCTGAGTGATGGGCAGGAGACAGGGAGCAGAGACATGCAGGGAAGAGGGACAGAGGGCTGGGGCTAGCCATGGGCAACCAGCAGCAGGGGCCTGGGAGAGGAGCCGCACTGGAAACCACTACAGACAAGTCCCAGTTAAGTTTGCTGCAGCCATAGGTTGTCACTGGGCAGGGGACACCTGAGGTCCTGGAAATGCCCAGTGCATTCCCACCACCATCCTCAGGACCCTGGCACAGAGGCCCAGTTGCAGCTCTCTCCATTTGAGGCAGGGAGCCCAGCCTAAGGATGGTGCTGAGCCTAGATGAGATGTGCCTCTAGTAAGGTCTACTCGCCCCAGCCCTAGGGGAAGACCCCCAGACCATCCTCCCTGCCCAAAGCAGCTGTTACCCCTGCTTGAGCCAGCACGGGAAGCCAATCCACCCCTGCCCTCCTGTCTGAGCTCCCCCACCACCATCCTTAGCCAAGCAGGCAGGTGTCAGGCCCCCCCACACTGCTGGATACGCAGCCGGATCCCAGCTGACCATGTAGGGCCCCTCCATCAGAGGAGCAATCCTACCTGTGTGTCTCTACCCTGGTGGCTGCAGCCACCCCCTGCCCCCTTCTGCATCTCAGTGCCGTTCAAATGGACACCCAGGAGGGCGGTGGGTCCCCAGGATACCGGCCCCCGGGAGGAGACAGGGACCGTGGACTGGGAGCTTCTGAGAGGAAGGGAGCGGCCACAGGCGAAGGAAGGTGCGGAGCCTGAGGGAGATGCAAGACAGTCCAGGGGTGACAATCCCAGCAGCAAAGCCCTGGTCACTGTGGAGAGGTGGCATTGCAGGCTCAGGACTATCGGGGGTCTGTGCAGAGACCTGGGCTGGGAAGGGGCAGGGGTGAGGGGAGCAGGGTGAGCAACAGCCTGCGGGCCGTGGCTTTGCAGCGTGGCAGGGAGACCTGGTTCTGGCCCAGGTGCCTTGCCCACATGTCAGCGGGGACATGAGAGCCGGGGCTAGGGCAGCCTCCCCACACCATGGACCCCGTGGTTTCCCTGCCCTGGAAGAAGCCCTGTAGCCCCCCTGCTGTAACACGGCCGGCCCCGGGCCCGAGCGTCTGGGGCCGGCTGGCTCAGTGTGGTGCGGTAACCTGTCTCTCTTGCGGTGTCTCGCCTGCCCCCGTGCCCAGAATGAGGATCAAGGTCTTCGTAGACGTAACGAGCCAGAGTGGACAGTAAGTCGGGGCCTTTGTTTTACCCCTCCTCTCCCTTGTGTGTTGAGCAGGGCTGGTGGGGGGAAAGGGATGAGCATCAGTCCTGGAGGCTGAGCCTCTCTGCCAGCCCCCCATGCACCAACCCTGCCCTGTCTGGGGCAGAGAGGGGTCTGGCGTCCCCATTCGAGGTCCACGCAGGCCTCAGCTTCCCTGCCCAGATGGAGAGCTAGGGGGTCTGGTGGGTGCCGGCTGCAGTGACCGGGCTGCCATCCCCTCACTGAGCTGAGACTGGCAAACTCATCTCACGCAGGCCACCAAACAGCTCTCTTCACCGAGCTGGGGTGTAATGGCACCCTGGAGCCGGATGGCTCTCAGCCCTGTTCAGGTCCATGCAGCGGGTGGCCAGGGCCTGACTGTATCCCTCCCTGCTGTCCCTGCAAATCTCCGAGCCCTGCTGGGCCGGGCTCTTGTGGCTGCGTCCAGGCGGTGGGGAGTGCGTGGACACACCTGCTCTAGATGCACCAGGCACAAGCAGAAGCCACGGAGTACACGGCATCCCAACCCAAGGCACTACCCTCAAGGTGCCACCACTTCTTGGACACTGCAGGTCTATCAGACCCAGCAGGGCAGACTAACAGAAAGAGACTGACAGGCAGCAAAGCTGTAGGGAGCAATCCAGCAGGTGAAGTTTCCCCCATTTGGGACCTTTGCCCCACAGGTGAGACAGGCCAAGCCTCATCCCCCTTCCCTTGGTCCAGACCTGGGTCCCCAAACCTCCCCCTCTAAGGAGCAGCTACTTCTGGGGGTCGACTGGCTTCTGCAGTGAGTCCACTAGCTGACAACCCTCTACTGCTAGCAATGACTGGAGTTGCCTCTAATTGTTGGATGCTGCATTGCTCTAGTTCCTGGGTTCAAATTGCACCAACACATTAGCAAAAGAGGTGGAGCAGTTATGGTCCTGAATGCTAGTCCCACTCCAGGGACAGAGGAGCTGGCTGTAACAGGGGAAGCAGCCAACATGCTAGCAAAACACATATGTTGGGTCTTCCTCCCAGCGCCTTGTCCACTGGATGATAATAGCTTACTAGTGCTGCTCACTGTTGGGTTCCTCTGTGAACTCAGTGGTATTGGAGAGCACTGAATATCTGGGTCAGGTATGGCAGGGGATAGTTAAATGGCCCTCACTGTCAGGGTTTGGGGTAAGACCCCATGGGACAGAGCAGCCTAACCAAATCTCCAGGTATTTCATCATTTCTGGTTCTGAATGTCATGTAAATGAAGCAGATAAAATGCTAAGACCTTGACAGAGCATTTCACTGCTCCATCAGCCCAGTCAGAGCCGGGGGGTGTTCAGAGAAGAGTCAGTGCATCAGATATTAGCAGGCTGTAAGGAAATACAGCTCACAGCATTCATAACTGAACTTAAGGGCACACCTTTCAGGTGCAAAAGCAGCTCCAATGTGCAGGAGAGGTGGGAAGAGAGAGGGCAGGGTGGAAAATGTACACTCTGAAATGCTATCGGGCAGATCCCCCTTTTCAAACAACACACAGGGCTGTTTGCAATGGACAGGTCTTTGATAATCTGCTTAATCTCCTGCATTACAATAACATTAGGAGGGGGAAATAGATAATGAAGTGTTATACAGAACTGCTTCAGAGGGGAGAGACGTGGGGAGTGGGGAAGAAGGATGTGCCAGTGCCATTTAATTAGCTCATTAGCTAGAATTTAATTTCAAACTTGGTTAGAGGGAAACTCAGCTCCAGAAAAGTCACTCCTGGAGCAGGGAGGGCATCGGCTCTTAGATACATGAATCAACACAGGGCTGAATCTCACTTGCAGTCTTACAGCTCCTTTGGCATTTCAGCAGGGGAGCCCTCCGCTTTGAGCCCAGGGGTCACTCAGGCCCACTTTTCTGGGCTTAGCACAGCAGACCCTTCAGGGCTGAGAGGTCCCTTCACCTGCTTCCCTGGACAACTCAAGGTGTTCTTATAGATTGCATGAGGCCTCAGGGCCCATACACCAGCCCCATCATGATGCCCTTATGCTAGCTAATCACCAATTCCTACAGCCCTGGCACTGGTCTCTCAGCATGATCTAAGGTACTTAACTTACCTCCTTTTTCCCTACCTCAGGGTATCAGCATTTCACAGGGCACATCCCCTCTAGCTCCCTCAGGTCCTTCTAACTGCAGCGCTCACTCTGTTCCAGGCTTCCCCTATTCCAGGCCTACACTAGCCCAACTCCTCACACCACCCTGCTTTAGCAGCCATTTCCAAAAGCCAACACATGTCCCATGCTAGGTTTGCTCTACACCACCTCTCTTCGTGGCAATGGATCCCTTTGTCCAGCCAGCCACAATATACCTATTTACCCCCCACCCTGTGCTCTGCCCCTTGCTGCCTGTGATGCAGAAGTGATAAAACCCTGTAAATATTGCTAGAGCAATGTGTGACTGCATGCACCTGCCTATTTCCTGCTTATCTTCCTACAGACACACCCTAGTCCCAGTAGGCTGCATCTAGGAAAATGCACAAAGCCCTTCCTCCTTTCATTTAGGACAAAGGTCCAAATCCTTATCAGGCTTTGCCTCCCAAATATATGAGCTCAGCTGCCAGGAAGGGAGGAAGTGGCTTCCAGGTGAGCCTGATCAAAGAAATGAGCCTGGCTATAAAGAGGGAGGAAGCTGTCTAGTGGGGCTGTTTTTAAGGAGGTTGCTGTGCTTGGGTTAGGGGCTTAGGAAGGGAGAGGGAGTGTGCATGATCTGGGCAGGCTGTGGGTGTATGGCGATGGTCAGCTCTGTGTTGTCCTTGTTCAGACACACTTGCTATTCCCTGTGCATGCCTTCCTGCAAGCTGTGTGATGGCACCTCTATCTGCAGACCTTTCCCTGACTCAAATGACTTTGCTTTTGTGCTAGTAGATGGCAGCGTGACCCTGAGCCTGGAGTCTGAGTGCTCTCTTATGCTCTAAACATTTAAGCTTTGGCTTCTTCCAGGTCTTTATTTATTCCAACACAGTCAGGAGGGAAAAAAAGCACTAGGCTAGCTGTGCAGCAGCCCCAGCTGATATAGCAGGGACAAGGCATGTGTCTATGATCAGGGGGCTTTATGCAGCAGACTTTAATGAGGTTGTAGTAGCTAGGAGGATGCTAGCAAGCCCTTCACTGCTGCTTTAAGTGGCTCAGACAATACACTTGCAGCCTTCCCTGTGGCCCCACTCTAGATGCTGTTTCCCCAAGGCTTGGCACAATTCCTCTCCCATATTTCCTGGAGCCAGGCTGCCCTATAACAGCTGATCCCTCCTGCCTCTCCTCTTCCCCTTACCGCTGCTCTGAAGACACTCGGGTCTCTGGCCTGCTACCCATCTCTCTCCTGAGCTCTGCTTTGCAGAGCAGTCAATAAATCATTAGCGGTGTTTTGTTTTTGGCATAACTTTCCCAAGTGTTGTGCTGGAATATCTACCCAGGCCCTGGTGGCACGTGGCTTCGAGCAGCTTGTTCTGTTCCTTCAGGCTTTTTCTCCCAAGAAACAGACTCCCTGAGGCTGGCATCATCTGGAGGCACTGTGGGGATTGTAAGAGAGGGCTTCAAAGGAAAAAAAACCCACTCTTTTGATGCATCCAAAATGGGCTTTAGGCCCATGTTGTGGAGTGGAAATGTTGCCTTTGGGTTGTCCGGACCTACAGCTCCTCCTGGTTCTCCAGGCAAGCCGAGGACAGCACAGGACATAGCTCCAGATATTTGGGCTGCATTTTGCAGGCAGGTCTGTGCTGCTGTCTTGACACCCCCATCTCCACCCCTTTGCACACTAGGATGTAGAAAAGCCCTGAAAACAATTTGCCAAAGCTGGAGACCACATTTGTCTCCTTTCCCCTCCTCCCTCTCTCTGCTCCTCTTCTGTTCCCATTACACAGCCCAGATTTCTCCTGCACGCGAATGGTTCATTGTGTGCTGGCGCAGATAAGTGCATCCATTTTGGGATGGCTTTAAAAGCACACTGAGAAGGAGGCTCTGTTTCTAGCAGCCTTTGTAGTATCTGAGTCACGCAGGGAACAGCCCCCAGCTGATAAATTTCTATTACAGCCCAAGCCCTTGTTATCCCATTACAATGGGGAGCAATGAAGCTGGGTAAATGGGACCCCACACCCCCGAGGGATTGTACCGTCCCATACAGATAAAAATATTTACCCTGCAGCTCTTATGTGATGGGATCACCAAGGGGTCTTAATTGCAGCACTGTTGCGCTGGATTTTGTAACACGTCTGTAATAAAGACACGGTCCCTGCCCCAAACATTTCTCAACCGAAGAGGCCCGGGTTTTGGAATAACAGAGATGTGGATGGGTTGAGGCACGACCGCATTATGCTTTGCTCAATACACTCATATGCTTCAGAGGGAAGGCAAGAGGGCGTGACACGTCCAAACCCACACACAAGCTCCCTTTAGTGGCTTGCAGCCAGTCAGCTGAGAACTCCCTTCCTAGCAAAAGCCAGATCCACTGAGCTGGTGCATGGCTGGAAGATGAAAGCAGCAAGATGTGTGTTGCCCAACTGTGATGGCAAGGTGCAGCTTTAATGCCAGTCACATCATGGGAGGCAAAAGCCTGTGAAGCAAGAGGTGCTGGGAAACATGCACGGGTGAGGCAGTGGGGCCTGAAATAAGGCTCATGTCCCCACTAGATGCTTCACTAAGACCAGCTCAGAGGGCTTCAAAGCACTAGACAGGGCAAGAAAGCCAAAGCCCCTTTCCACCAAGGCTTGGGAGGGAGAGGACTTTGTATTCTGCAGGAGCTAACTGCAAGCACCACACACCCCCTTCCCTGGAGCAAAAGGGCATGGGTGAGCCCTGAAAGCTCTCAGGCTTCCATTGGGTTTTGGATAAATCTTGGCAGGAAAGATCGCTGTGATTTCACGCTGAAACAAATGCTGTTTGATTATCACTTGTTGTTCCAGCTGTGCATAATAACCCCACACCTCAGCACCTTGGCATTCGAGGGCTTTGCTTTTCTTTCGGGGCTTGCAAAAAAAAAAACAAAACCCTGAATCTGATAGCACCAGGTGGCAAAGAAATGCATTATTTTTCCCTCCACTGAAAGAATGAGACCATTTTATGGAGGGAAGATGGATTGGTTTTTCCCTTCCAGATGACCTAACATCAAAGCAAAAGCCACAGACTCGGGAGCTCAGCTCTCTAGAGACTGGCCTCAATAAGAAACAGCATTAGCTTAGTACAGGTGACCAGGCTGGGTGCCTTCAATGGGATTGCTCAGGTGCATAAAAGTAAGTGCCTGGACAACAATCCAGTCTGCCATCAAAGCCTGGCCCTACAAATACTCTCTTCACACAGCACATGAATTGTCAGATTGGACCCGACTCAATGCCCATCCAGCCTGGTCCCCTGCCTGCAGCAATAGCCAGCCCAGAAGGGTCAGCTAAAACCCAACATCTGGACAGATGAGGCATGACCTGTCTCTCCCCAGTGTTGAGGACCTCTGTTATCTCCTTATAGTAAGATTGCATTGAGCTGCTGCAAGACTGGGGGCAAGCTAGTCTTGAGTCCACATTTGCACAGAGTAAAGGGGCGTTTTGGGGAGCTGAGGTGGAAATTGCTCCATGACAGAACGCCCCAGGTGTCACGTGAAATAAATGTAGATTTGCAAGAATAAAGAGAGTGCTTTGCTTTTCCCTGCACCTCTCCGTCCTTCCAGGGCACCTCCCAGGGCATTGGGCAGCTGTGAGTATTGCACGGTTCATCTCCGGGATCTTGCTCACTGACTTTTGCTCTATGTTTCAGACCTTTGGAAAGTGTCACTCAGCAGTACCAGATGCGCGTGATCGCTTGACCTGCTGTTACTCACGCCAAGAGCAGTCTCTGGAGAAGATCACCCCTGTCTATAACCCCTTGTCTTACCTCCCAGAAGACCTTTATCCTTACCATGCCGACGTCTCCATCTGCTGCCCGCCCCCTGGTTCCCGGGCACCGCACATCTGTCCTAAGGAACAGTATGTTTAAAGCCACTTCTCTACACGCTCAAGCAAAAGCAAAGCAGCCAATGTTTCACGTCTCCTGCTCTCTCCCACGTCCACCGAGACATTCTGGCTTTTTTTTCTCCCCAGCCACTGAAAACTTTGCCTGCTTCTCCCACTTCTCATTTTGGTGCAACTCTAAGTGAAATGATTAGATTACGTATCCGCCTGGCTCTTAGCACTCAAAGGGAACTTCCTGCCTTTGTCCCTCTCTCCCTGACTTTTTCTTTGCATCTTTCCACCCCCCGCCCCACATCCCTCCCTAATTTTGGCCCTATCACCCAATCGTAGCAAGCTGGCTATGCGCATGCATGCGTGGGTGCACAGTTGGCCCTTGCTGGGTGGAACGTGCCCGACCTGCTGCAGTGTCTGTTGGTTCCCTTGTGTCATTTTTTCTACTATCTGTGCAAGAGCAGCCCAGAAGAGGGTTCCTTCAGAAGCCTTTGTTCCACTGGTCCGAAAGAACCAGTGAACTCGACTCCCTAACCGAACCGTCTTGACGCTACATCGAAATTCCCCGGCCGGTGTCCATGTCTCAGGCCAGAACTCTGTCCTTTGCAAAGACCGTTGTGGGGGGAGCCCTGTTTCTGATAGAAAAAGGCAAAGATTTCCAAATGAAGCCCAACGATGGGAAGTTTGTAGTGGCATATGCAAAAGCAGAGCAGAAGAGATGTATTCTTCTCCACTCCCGACCTCTCGGCTTTGACAATCTGGAGGGAAAG